TTGCTCTGGATAATTTTAAATCAAAGCATCTACCCCCCAACTCACCCCAAGAAAACCTACTATTAAAGATCGGTATTCCATATTGGAAGGGGTATCTTCATGATGAAAGCAACTTGACAGATAAACCACAGAGTTTTTGTACTTTTTCTAGACAGAAATAAATTCCACATTTTCATTGTTTCACAAGGAGTGAGGTGTGTGTGTCTGTGTGTGTGAGTGTGTGTTACTTGGGGTTTCTTATGTTGGAATGTATCTCATCTGAATTCAAGATTTTACATAAGAGTGGATAATATTTCATTGGTGGGGGCAGAGAAAAGCTAACGAAAGGCTTAGGAACACAGTTCCAAGCTATTTCCTAAATTTATGCTAATCAAAAATATTGGAAGACTGTAGTTTTTATAAAATTACCCTCTTGTCTGACAATAGTTGAATAGTTTGGTATGGGGAATCTTCCTAAAACATCCCAAATCCTGGCAATTTTTCAAGAAAGTCTCATACAATGGCTGATCTGAAATAGAATCTGTCAGGAGCAGAGAGTGGACTTCAATTTCATCTATAACACTTTCTCAAAAAAGATCTGAAACAAACACCATAAAACAGTAGCATTTGCCAAATCAAGGTAAAAAGTGCATTAATTCATTCTTAACCAATATTTTTATTTGTATTTAATCATACTGATAATAGAATAATAAAAAGTAGAATACATTAAAATACCAAACTGTTATTCCAAAGATTTTGTTCGTTGCTCATAGGTTTTATGACTCTTACAGTTGATAAAAATAAAATCCAGAGAAGATTTCAAAGCACTCATTTATCAATGATAAGGATATAATATTCCCATGGATGGCTCTCTGTCAGGAAGTTTAGAGGGACCTTTAGCACACGTACCCCATAAAAATATTTCCATTGCTTTAAAGTTTTAATGGCCTATTTTACAGCAGTGTGAGTCAGGTAGATAAATCTTCAAGTGCTCCTTTTAAGGTTTACTTTTTTTTCTCAGTCAAAAATAAAAGTCTCCTTCCATCCTGAATTATTCTGCTAATCAAGTCTGTTGAGTGTTTACAGAGCTACCAAATGAAACATTGTGAAAGCTTTTACGTGATGTGTATGTTTTTGAAACTATTATCAGCAGACTAGTGAGGCAACACACCATTCATCTAAGCCCAAACAGTGAATGACTCCTGGATATTTTCTTGGTTAGTGGGACAAGTAACATCACAGTAACCTGGTTTTCCAGTAATGGGTGTAGAAACAGGGCATGTAGGCTCTGAATTTGGCAATTGTTCATCCTGTGAAATAGCAGGGAAAATGACCTGGGACTTAAGGCTTGATGCTCTGAGGTTACATATGCCATTAACAATCTCATGACTTCTATTCAGTGTATTATCTGTCAAATACTCACCAAATTAATTTTGTTAGTGTCATAATTTTAACTAGAAAATTATTTCAGTGGGAGGAACAAGACTGTTTGTAGCAGATTTATTTTAACCTCTTCAATTTTAGTGTTATTTAACCTTTCTGAGGTTTACTAAATGTAAAATTTTATTTATTGAATATTTGTTATGGACTGTTGGGTCCTGGAGATAAAGAGTGAGATAATGCCAATTTGTTCAAATTGTGACTAACCTAATGTGTAATAGAGATAAGAAAAGATAAGTTCTGTATGTGGCTTGAGCACAGTTCTTAACAGAACATATTTCTGAGAGTCTCAACCCAACAAGTAGCAGAAAGAGTGTCAGCCTTCCTGGTAGAAGTTTGTGCTGGTTCATTTGAAGACTGGAGAACAGTACTTAGTCAGTGTTCTGTTGCTTTGAAGAGACACTATGACAACTCTTTATAAGGCAACTCTTATAAAAGAAAGTATAGATTTGGAGACTTGCTTACAGTTTCAGAGTGTGTATTTGTTAAGGTTCTCTAGAGTAACAGAACTTATATAATGAATCTGTCCATATATAAAGGGGGATTTATTAGAATGACTTATAGGCTTTGGTCCAACTAATCCAACAATGGCTGCCTCTGAATGGAAGGTTCAGGAATCCAGGAGTTGTTCAGTTCACAAGTATGGTTGTCTTAGCTGTTCTTTAGAACATGCTGGAATTCTGAAGAAGTAGGTTCTAATGCCAGTGAGGGAAAGCACTTGCCAGTGAGAGTGAGAGCAAATAGGTAAAGAGAGTGAGCTTCCTCCTAACATGACCTTCATATATGCTGCCAGCAGAAGCTGTGGTCCAGATTAAAGGTGGACCTTCCTACCTCAGAAGATTCGGATTAAAGGTTTATTTCTCACCTCAAATATCCAGATTAGATGTGTGTATTTCCACTTCAAATAATTTAATTATGAAAAAAAATTCCATCACAGGAGTTTCCAGTCATTTGGGTTTTAGTTAATGCCAACATTGACAGCCAAGAATAACAACAGAAGTTTGGTCCATTATTATCATGGCAAAGAGGGTGGCAGCATGAAGGCAATGTGGTGCTAGAGCAGTAGCTGAGAGCTTTGCATCATAATGCACAGGTACTAGGCAGAGAGAGAGAGAGAGAGAGAGAGAGAGAGAGAGAGAGAGAGAAACCATTTCGAAACCTCAAAGACCACCCTAGTGACACATATCCTCCAACAAGGCCTCATCTCCTAATATGTTCCTGACATCTCATCAGCTGGCATGCAAATATATGAGCCTATGGAGATCAATCTCACTCGAACTACCACAGGTACCCAAGAAGAAGCAGAAGCACCTAGAAAGACTCAGACAACTGCGAATGTATTTGGGACCAAATGTTCAAACCCTTCTCTGGGCCAAAGAATCTTCTCCATGTTCTGGCTATATCTTTTTGACATTCTTAGCTCAAGTCACTCTAAGAATGACAATTATCTATTAATAAACTATAATTTTAATTTCAGTCCAGTGAGCACTCCTTCCTTGAATAATACCAATGAAAAGTGCAGAGGCATTGGAATTTTTTAACAAATTCCACATATGATAGACCTAGTCAGTTATTTTTAAGAGTAACTGATTACAAAATAAATCTTGACACATGTGTGGAGTTTTACAATATGTAGACAAGAAGCTTAAAGTGCTGTACAAAGGCATTGAGCAAATTGCTTGCTATGAGTACCAACCCTGAGATCACAGCCTCTGGCCATAGATTGACTTGCAAAACCAGGAAAGCGATTCACGTTTCACAGCCGGCTCTTGACATCTTCAGATAGGTAACACTTCACATTTTCTCAGTTCTTTGATTCAGTCATTTCAAAACATTTAACTGACCCTCACTATATATCAGAATTTTAAGTACTATAGATACATGTATGAATGAAGCACTAATGCTACCACCCCCAAAACCCTCAATACAGTGAAGAAGCAATTTTTAAGAAGTCTCAATCCCCTGAAACAACTATACAGAAGCAACTATACATTGCACAGTTAGGAATAGGGGTAGGCATAAAAAAAATTGTTTGAGGAATGAACAGGAGCCAATATGTTGAAATAAATGTTCCATTAAGACAGAAAGACCTTCAGCATATAAGAGCCTCAGCTGCAAGACATGTGGCAAAGATCAAAGTACCTTTCTTTGTTGTCAACCAGCTGTAACCTATACTCTTGCAGCCCCTGGTAACCTGAAAGCTTAGTGCTCCTGAGTCTATGAATTTAGAAAAGCCACTCATAAAAAACGAGGTCTTTAAATCTCCAAATGTAGAACAAAGGAAGACAGGTGAGGTTATGGTTCAGGCCCTTAGGAATCAGTAGGAGATTATGTCATCAGAAGGCAGCCTCTAAAAGAGGCTCCAATGCCCTTGGTTCCTGGTCTTCAAGTACGAAGTTCACCCTCCTTAGGAAGGTGGGCTTACTTTTCTAGAGAGTTGAATAAGGTAGAAATGTCACTTTGTGGGTGAAGCTATATGATGTCCAGTCTTCCTCTCTGTTACCTGAGGCAAGCTCACCAGTGTGGCTTTGAGACAACACCCTAAGAAGTCCCTGTGATGAAGTGCCCAGCAGCCAAAGGAGGGAGCTTGTTCATACCTCTCCTCATTAGTCCATCAGCTCATTAGATGAGAGCACAGCCCTGGCTGGCAGCTTGCCTGGAACTGACCAAGGTCTTGAATCATAAGCATTCAGCTATGCTGCACCCAGATTCCTTATCCCCTTGAAACCACAATCCAATAAGTGTTTCTTGTTTTAAACATCTATATTTTTAGATGATTTGTTATGTGTAATAAGTCATATACACCATCACTATTCACTCAGAGTGTCTATATATTTAATTGTCTGTGAAGACTCACGATCTGGACACAAAGAGTGTATAATCATGATTGGGCTATTTGGCAAATAAGGTTTATTTCAGCTGTGAATAGATATAAAAATAAGAGTGAAGGCATCTAAAGTCTGCTCAAGTGCTACGAATGTAAAACAAGGTGATGAAATTAATTCTTGGCAGACAAGGGTCAGGTGGGGGTCTTTTCCATCCTAAAGCTCTCTCTACACGTCACTCACACATGTCTAGATTAAACATGGATGATCAAGCAACAGAATCTTCTGGATGTCATCTTGAAGTCTTACTACAGACACACTGTCACACATAAAACTGTTTCTAATTGGCTGCTTTTAAAAAATTTGGTCTGTATTTGTCTTAGCACAGTCTTGAAATTTAGCATAATTTGAGTTTTTGCACAATACAAACTTTCTTGTACAATTTTCATCTTACTTTTCTTATGACACAATTATTCTTTCATATATCCATTAAAAAATATTTCATGGTAAGCAGTGACCCATTCAATCTTTCTCTGGTGTAGAGACTAATTTGGAGAACCAAAAGTAACCATGAAGACAATTTTGTAAGTAAAGCATATGAATCTTTGATAGATTAATACACCAAAATATTAAGTTTGTGGTTAAAATTATACATATGTAGGTACATAATGTTATAATATTTTAGAATTCTAAATCTGTAATATAGTTATATGTCAAGAACTTAAGCCATTTTCTTTTCCTAACTTTGTAACACAGGAGAAGAAAACCTCCTGGCAATTTTACGACGAAGATGGTGGAAGTACATGATCCTTGGACTTATAGACTTGGAAGCTAATTACCTGGTGGTCAAGGCTTACCAGTACACGACTCTGACAAGTGTCCAGGTAATGATGGATCTTCTCAACTTTCCAGATATAGCCCACTTTGAGTTTAATTTCTTGGAAGTCTGTATACTATATGATGTGTTTCTCTTTACTTTTTCTTTTAAATTTAAGGGTTTTTTTTTTTTAGATGAGAATTGATTCTTCTCTCATGCAGTACATCCATCCACCATTTCCTTTTTATTGAATTTTTATTTTTTAATATTAATTACAGTTTATTCATTTTGTATCCTAGCTGTAGCCTCATCCCCTATCCCCTCCTAATCCCACCCTCCCTTCCTAATCTCCTCCCATGTGCCTTTCCAAGTCCACTGATAGGGGAGGTCCCCCTCCCCTTCCATCTGACCTAGCCTCTCTGTGTCTGTGGATTGTAGCTTGATTATCATTTTCTTAATAGCTAATATCTACTTATAAGTGAATACACACCATATTTGTCTTTCTGGGTGTGGGTTATCTCCATTTATGATGTTTTTTTTTCCTCTAGTTCCATCCACTTGCCTGCAAATTTCATTATATCATATTTTTTAACAGCTGAATAATACTCTGTTGTGTCAATCACCACATTTTCTTTATCCATTCTTCTGTTGAGGGGCATCTTAGGTTGTTGACCGTTTTCTGGCTATTATGAACAAAGGTACAATGAACATAGTTGAGCAAGTGTCCTTGTGACAAGATGCAGTGTCCTTTGGGCATATTCCCCAGAGTAACATAGTTGCATCTTGAAGTAGAACATTTAAAAATTAAATTGAACTTCATTCATATGTCATTAACTTTTCCTAAATCAGGTGTAATTGGATGGCTTTTTCCTCTTTGTTCTAAATATACCAAAATAATCATTTACAATGCAAAAATTAATTCATGAATTTGAATGCTGCCAACTAATCTTGTGTCAGCAGGAGAATTACTAATAAGTATAAAAATAAATCTGATTTCATCACAACTTAACTTTTTTTAGAATGTTAATAGACTTGGATTAAGTAAGCAAGCTGCTTAACAATCTTTTCTTTTTAGCTTTTTTTAATGCACTAACTATTAAATCTGAAGGGATATGTTTTTTTTTTTCCTGAAGGGATAAAAATAAAATTCTCAGAATACGTTATGTATGAAGATGGCTACTGTGTTTATGTATCTTTTTATCCCCATTCCCTCACACACATGCACTTATGGATGAATATGCACAAATACAAATTTAATGTAGTTTTTGTAGTTGTTGGATACTCATTTTCCTGACACTCAAATCAGTTTTATTGTATTTGTTTCACCCTCATTTTTCTTTGTGCAGAGATATTATTGATTTCACATCTATCCTAAAGTTACAAGAAAAAGAATATTGTTCACCAATGAATATTAGCTGAAATTTGATGCCAGTCGTCCTTTTAATTTGTCTTAGAGCTATAATGATATAAGTGAATAAACAAATACACAAATGGCTGAGTAAATATGTACAATACAGATTGACTGAGAAGTGACAGAAACTTTGTTTCACTTTGCTATTTAGTCATATTCCTAATTTCCACATGAATTTCAAAGATGATATATCGGTCTACTTTTGTTACTACGATAGAATAATGGAAAGTGATAATTTATAACGGGTAGAAACCGATTTGATCACTGTACTAGGGGCTGGAGAACTCAGTATCAAAGACTGAAAGCAAGGACAAGAGTAACAGGTGTGGTCACACCCCACTAGATAACTTCTCTGATCTCAGGAGAACACCGCTGACCTACTTACCTCTTAATGACTCTTGGCCTTTACACACTCTTGCAACAGTGATTAAACATTCATCTGAGTTTTGGAAGATACAAATATGCCAACAATAGTAAATAGCTTAAAATAAACTAACATTTTCCCAGCACCATGTCTACACACAGTTAGTACTTACACTTTTACATGAACACATGCATGTGTGCATGTTTGTGTAAATGCAGGTAGACACGTGTAATGTGGAGAGCTGATGATCACCTTGGGGATCATTCCTCAGACACCACCTGCCTTTCTTTTGAGACCAGGTCTCTCATTGACCTGAACTTGCCTGGCAGGCTATGTAACTGACCGGCAAGCCCAAGGGATCTCCCTATCTCTGGCTGTCCAGCACTTGGATGACAAACTCATGCCACCCTGTTCAACACTGCCTTTGCATAAATTTTGGAGAACAGTCTCAGGTCTTTGTGGTTGCAGAGCAAGCTTTATATTGTCAGAAGGATCCGACCCCTGCCCCAGCCCATTTCTACACACAGCTTGCATTCTGAGAGCATTTGTGAGATGAACCCCAGTAAAGAGGCACACTGAAGCAAGAAATGAGCCAGGAGAGAAGAGCTGAGCAAACCCTCTTAACTTACCCTTTACAATCCTGTGTCTTTTGGACTGTTATTGGAAGCTAATGTCCAGATGGAGAAGACCCAGAGCTTCTGTATCCCTTCTCTAGTGCTGTCCTTTATAAAACTATATCTATGACATCCTTGCTCTTCTGGGAACCTTCTGTTATCCAGTTGTAAGAGCTTAGGCCTCTGGAAATTGAATTTTCTACTTGAACATTTTCTTTCTTACCATTTCCTCTACAGAAAAATAATTTCTAATGCCCCATGCACAGTATACAATATTTCTTTGGTTGAAATATATTTGGACATGCTCACATCCTATGTTTTTGGTAAGAATTTTAGACATCTTCAATACAGGAACTGTAGCTTGTTAGAATAATTTATAAATCATGCATAAATTAGCCTTTAGAAATATATGCATTTAATATGGTTATAAGATCTCCCATTTACATTTGCTTTGAATTTTTTTTAAATATCACCAAACTAAGAAAACACATAAGACAGTTGCAAGCTCTAACTGGAGAATAATTAAGCACTCCTCTTTCTTTAACAGTGAATATTGTGGCTTTAAAATGGAAAATTCTTTAGTTACATCCTACTTACACTAACAATGTACATGTATGAAATAGGCTTTATGAAATAGGCCTTATAAACTTTATTACAAATTTCATTTTTAAAATCTTTTATCTATTTTCAATGATAACTATTTTTCTTTTAATCATGGAAATAAAAATCATTGGCACTGTTTTCCACAAATGTGACATTGTTTAGTATAAGTCGCCATTCTATAAACAGTGATTTTCTAAGTTCCACTTTTCTTTGCCTTCTTCAGTTAGAAACAAAGTCTTTTTTTTTTCTAGTCTCTTCAGTTCAAATAAGATATAAGAATAAGATGTCTTCTAATGCAGGTACCCCACATAAAAAAATTCTTTAAGCACACCTTATACAAACAGAGGGGGGAGAAGCAATTTTTAAATATCCTTGGCCAAACTTTCTGGGTTTTTTTTGTTTGTTTGTTTGTTTTTTGTTTTTTTAGATATATTTCTCCCTTCATCTTCTGTCTATCAATATCTTTTTAATTTTAAAATCCTTTCAACATTCAGGATGTTTTCAAATCATATATTAATTGAAAGTGCAATGAAAGCTGCCTTTAAATGGCAAAGAGCTATTGTGGGTCTTTTAACTAGAGCACCTAGAGAAAGTACAGTTAAATGTCTCAGTGATGGCATCTATCTGTCCCTTCTTCTGTCCCTCCTGGCTTATCCTACTGCAGGCCATAGCTGTGGTCACAACATAGATCTGCACCAGCACAAATAAGAGCCACATGCTTCTTAATTCATGACCAGTAAAAGAACAAACAAAACATCTACGCATGGCCAATGAGCAAAAGCCTAGAAGCCTACCCTGATTTGACCATACAAACAGAGCAAATTGGCTCAGATGTGGGCTCCTTGAACCAACAAGGAATGATATTTCTTTCACTGCATTACTATAAATAGACAAATGCTTCTTAGTAAGATCACTACTAACAGTTTTAGAGGGATAGCAATCTATCTGAGTCAAGATATCCAAATCCATCTCACCCAACTATATCTGTCATAGATTATGAGTGGGACAGATAGATGCCGGAGGACCAGCTACAATGTCCTTACATCTAGCTTAGCTCCTACTTCAGGTCTACAAGCTATGAAAAGGAATCCTCCAGCTCCATTCTCCCATGGTACTTTGCTTTTGCTCCATTTTCACAGCCTTCTTTCTAAGAATAAACTTGTGTGTCTCTATTTAATTCACTGAACTCAAGATCTTTTACTGCAAACACAATTTCTTTTTCACCTTTGATGCTCTAGTTCCTAGTAGAAATCCAACGCATACTGGATAATCAATATTTTTAAAGAGGTTAATTAAATTGCACCAATCTCTAACATTTGGGGGCACAGAAATTCCCAAACGTTTCTACCTAAATTTAGAGACTTCTGGAACATCAATAGAGGCATACACACAGAGAAAAAGAAAAATTCTGGCTTCTTGGCAGAACCATGATGTGAACCAGAATCAAAATTTTTAAATAAATGTAGGGAAAATAAGGAAGTATCTTTTCTGTAACTATGTTTGATGTTTCTTTTTTCTTTTATTTTTATATTTAGCTTTCAAAAGTCACAATCAATTATTTGTCTTTTTTCCATCAATTCTTTTCAAATTTGCCCTTGTGGTGAAAAGTAACAGTTCCTAACACTGGTTCACTGAGCCTCAGATTTTTATGTCAGTTTATGTTATACACTATCTTGGTTTGTTTTCTATTGTGAGGAAAAAAATCAACATGACCAAAATCTGGAAAGAAATTTATCATTGAGGGAAGCAAGGATGGAACTCAAGCAGAACACTATAGACAGAAACACAAGCAGAGGCCATGAAGGAGTGCTACTTGCTAGCTTGCTCACCACGGCTTGCTCAGCCTGTTTGCTTATAGAATCCAGGCCACCTGTTCAGTGGTAGGACTGCCCACGGTTAACTGGGCCCTCCCACAGCAGTCATTAATCAACGAAATGCTCCACAGGCCAATGTGTTGGAAGGGTTTTTTCAACTGATGGTGCCCCTTCCCAGATCACCTATGTTTATAACAAGTTGATTAAAAACAAATAAAACAACTAACCAGGACATCTACCATCACTGATGCGCCTAGCTAT